TTACTACGCATGCGCTGCATTTAACTGGGTTCTTTCGGTAACAAAGAAAAAGCTGAGAATTGCTGAGTTCTTTCCATCTTTACCTTTTCTAACATATATGTGTGATAAAAGACTAAAGCCATCAATACACTGCGTTCAATTATAGAGACAAATAGCACAGATAGTGCGAGTGTTGAGTAAATAAATTGATCGCTCTATTGACGGCATGTTTGTCTTTTGCAATCCTTGTGCGCGCGCTGAGTTGCATCAGCAAAAGCGCGCGCGAAAACTGTGTTCGGCCACCTTAAGGTGAGTGTATAACTGGGATGATCAGTCATGTCTTCATGAAGATGGAATAATAGGGAACATCTTTCTAAACTTTCTTATGCATGGTGAAATGGGTGCTTCATAACATTTGTCTCTACTTTCATGTAGCGGCTAAGGTTCGTATTACCTTTTATAATTAAGTTTCCATATAACGCGAGCTGTGATTGGCTGAAACAGCATGCTTTATGAGAGAACAAATGCACGGTAAGCTGAATTTTAAATTTTTCCTTCGATATTTTGACAAATGTGACCCAGATTAAACGTTCCCAGTGACTCAGACAAGCGCAATGGAAACAAGCTGTTTGTCTGCGGTAAAGAAAGATGCCTGAAGGCCATTGTTTACTGCAGAACGAGAATTGTTAAAACTGTACCCAAATAACAAGTTTTGCTAGAGTCCGACAAAACGGTACGCTTAATCACATAGCGAAATAAGCAAGTTCTCAACTTAGCGAATGCTTCGATAAGACATTACATTTGTTACGAAGGCAGAAATTATACTTTAGAAGTAAAACAACAGAAAACACCACTTGAGCTGTCTCTGTTTATGATGAGAAGCTTTATTTTTGTAAACATGCTCAAACAACCCTTACATGGAGTGAAGTAACTTTCGTTCGCTAAATAGCGATCTCTGGTAGCCTCAGCGAAGTGAAACTCGACAATTACACCGCTCACCCGACGAGTGATCAGTTGAAAACTTGTTGTGATATTCTCTCCTGTACTCGGAGTGTACTGCGAGCAGTTCAGTCTTTCCAACTTTGACGCTAATTCGGGCAATCTTGCCGCAAGCTTAAGTAACTGTAGTCCTTTCATATACAGCTCGCATTTCGCATTTTCATCCACAAGCTTTGAGCTCTTTGTTTCGTAATTTCCAATGGAAAGGTGAACTTTTTCACGAGCCACAATGCGGTCGGATTCCTCTGGACTAGAAACTTTTTAATCATTATTTTCAAATTAAACTAAAAAGCGAACTTTGAAGCGATCGCACTTCTCTCGAAAGCCACTCGAAACCGAAAGTTTGGCTGAAGTCCAGTTTCCGATTGACAGCTGTTGTCTTGTTAGCCAATCAAATTATTTGAATAATTCTAACAAGGATTGTGATTGGCTTATTTTTATCAGAGAACAGATGCACGCTGACAGCACTATTCCTAGTTTAGAAAATAACGTTTGCTTGAAAGTATTGGCTGAATGTGTGGGGAAATTAATGGGTCTTCGTCATAAAACAAATAGAGAAGCCTCGACTGAGCTGTGTCTGTTGTAAAGCACTCAGGAAGCGGTATAGCACTCACGAATAAGAGAGAAAACAATCGACTACGTCTCGTGTTTTCCCCTACACTTCTTCCGTTCTCTACCGCTTCCTGCGGGCTTTACAACAGAACAGAATACAGTCAAGGCTTCTTTATTCGTTAACTGCTATGTTTAAGATTGTAATTAGCATACTTAAAATATTTATAAATTTTCAAAACTTAAAATATTTATAAATTTTAAAATTTTCGGTAAGTGAGTTTCTCTCTCTGTTATTGTTTCGTCTATATGTTTGTTTGTTTTTGTCCGCCGACATAAATATTGTCCTCTTTTTAAAGGGGCCTTCAGATGGCGCCATTTGCATGCAAACAAATTCGCTAAAGAATTGTCTTTAATAAACGTATGTCTCGTCACTAAAACATAGGACACGTTATGTCAAGCAAGGATTGTTAAAGTGATAATCAACAAAACGCGTGCGGCAGGCAGGTGGATGCATTCTGTAAAATTCAAGTCAAACAGAGAGTCAATATGGACCTAGATTGAAGATATTTTTTTTAAATGTTAAACAAAAGAATTCTCTCTTTAACCGACCAATAGCTCTCTTGTTGGCATATTAATAACAATGGTGACATCACTGAAATCGTTGCTATTAAATTGCGTTTTAGTGAGTTGCCAAAGTCAACACTGGACAAATATATAAAGAGCTAATTCGTAGCAAATCCATTTTTTCGTCCATTACTCACAATTACCGTGTCAGCTGTGTTCATTTCCAAAAAGAGAAAAACATCGTAGGATATCACACGTATTCTTTGCACGGTGCTTGATAATGTTCAAGGGCTTCGTTTATCTTGGTTTACTTCTACAATTTTCAAAAGAACCAAATATACTGGCATTTCAACCGATCACGGAACCCAACCATGTTTTGGTCGACCATGTTTTTCAACAGTTATTCGGCAGAGACTGGTTCAACTGTATTCAGGCCTGTCATGATGAACCAAGATGCATCTCGTACAACTACGAGAGATCAGCAGGCACCAATGGTCTGTGTGAACTGAATGACTGTGGAGTTGAAAGCTTGTGCGACAGACACAGCTTCCTTATATACTCGAAGGGTTTTGTTTTTCAGCAGATAAGGGAAAGCAAGGTACCTGAGCTGTGTTAATCCGTTACAGCTGTATAGTTAAGTAAAATTGCTAGTAGTTATAATTTTTTCTTGATAAAAGATTAAAATAACCTCTCCTTAAAAATTCGTATTTCGTAGATTCAAGTTATATCTTAAGGTACTGTATGTTTTATCCAACTTATTATTCAACTCCAATTTCACGTATTTCCCGTGTGACAAATTGGAGTTGTAAATATGAAATATTAAACGAGGAATTCTGTTATAAAACGGAGGACTCAATGAGATGCAACTGATACCTGACAACTGGTGAAAATTTTGCAACTGTCAACTGGGAAATGACGTGATGCGAAAAATGCCAATTTTTTACTCTTGAAGTCATATAACGTCGTGAAATCTAATGCCCTGCAAACTGAAATTCTCAAAACCATGACTTGTTAAAATTATGTTTTTACAATATATTCTGAGTAAAAAACGAAACACACTTTATCGGTAACTGGAGTGAATACACCTGTGTTGATTGTTCGTTGTTAAGGCTTTGATGGATGATTGACGAATGGGCATTTGGGTGGCCACGCTGGTTCAAGAAAATACCATGAACATTGTGGCATACATATGTCGCGCTTATTGTTCGTAGAAATTAAAAGCAAAAAGTGAAGCCTAGAAGCCGAATGGCTCATAGCTGCAGGAGCTTATCCCGGTTTCTGTGGCATGAAGCGGCTAGGAGTATTTTTACTGCCCCTGGACGAGATGGTAGTTCATCGCAGGTCATTCTCCCGCAATTTGTTAGGTTTCCCCAACAATTTGCCGGTACCCATTTATAGTCCTGGGTGGAGAGGGGCACTGTGAGAGTTACGTGTCTTGCCCAAGAACACAACACAGTGTCCCCGGCTAGGGCTCGAACCTGGACCGCTCGCTCCGGGAACGAGCGCACTAACCATGAGGCCACCGCGCCTTCCGTAGAAATAAGGGCTATTTATTACCGAGTACTCTGAGAAAAATTGTGCGGATGCCTGATAATTGAAAATTTACAAGTATGAGAACTTTACCCTCACTCGATCTCGTGGCATTCGAGCTTAACTTCCGTTTCATTGTACAATGCTGGCCTTAAAATTGTTTGATCTTATCAATATTGCTGGGTATCAGATGTAGTACTGAAAACAATTTTTTTTTTTTCACTACGCTCGATGTTATATAGATAAATTGTTTATTAAAAAATACACACCTAACAGTCATGCGACTGAGTTACGTATAGAATTTAGATGCTAATAGTGGATTACAATAAAAAATAATACAAATGAATTATATCAAGACTAATTTACAAACTGATTCAACTGTATAGGACAAGACGATCTGTACTTTGGCTGAAAAAATATCGTCTACGAAGCAGTTATCAGGTAAAAGTTTTCTCAATTCACTCTAATGCCTATTTATGCTCCCATAACAATCTCATCCGGTTGATCCGCGGCTCATAATTCAGTTTAATTCAGTCGTAATATAAGAGGTTGTATAATATATAACTACTATAAGCGGTATTATAAACTAAAGGGCAGGACAAACATTCCCGCCAGTACCATACAGAGTAGGTCAACTCCCCCCTCCGACACTCGGGATCTACAAAATTGTAGATACTCTTCATTTGGTGATAAGGTAGACTCTCAACCAACGCAAGATGAGTATCAAATAAACTGAAACTGTTTACTGTTCGTTTGCCCTCAAATTTGGACAGTGGTTAGTTAAACATATCAACAACAACAAGGTGTCGAATTTCTTGTTTCGAAGTATTTTTTCTCGGAGAGCGATTTTTGTACGATCACTCCACACATTTTTTTTAATCCTATTTCGAAAATGTTATGTAGCTTTTCCCTGAAATTGAATATGGCAAAATATGGCGCGCCATGTGTAGCAAAATTACTTTTCCACATATTACGACATATTACCAGGAGCCATAATCGGGGACGGAGACCGTAAGTCTCAGGATTCGCGCGCACCTATGATATGGGACAATTTTTCTATTTTTAGAACAAATTGCGCTATCCTGACGTCATATATCCGCGC